AGATCTTATCATATCCACCTAACAGTGAATTTAAGGATCAGATGTTTGACAACCCATCCAGCTTTATTCATCTAGTAGATTGTGGGGCTGAACTTCGAACCTAAATTCTCCAGCTCCATATGCCAAGCTTTTTCCAGTGGATTGTGCCAACCTAAAATATTTTCCAGATAGTCAGGATTTTTTTAAAGTGTAGTATTACAATTCTAAATCAAATTCAATTTCCTCAAATACATACTAAGAACCTATTTTGCTGGGGACTACAAAACTTATATTGCTAAATAAGATATATCTCCCTGTTCAAAGCTTTTTTTTTTCTTTTTAAGTTGTAGATGGACACAATACCCTTATTTTGTTTATTTATTTTTAATGTAGTGCTAAGGATTGAACCCAGTGCCTCACACATGCTAGGCAAGCGCTCTACCACTGAGCCACAATCCCAGCCCTGTTCAAAGCATTTTGTATGACATACATAAAGAACTAAATATAGTATACCAAAATTTTGACAGAATAAGCATTCATAAAAATGTTTATAAATGCTTGAAATGTTTGTAAATATATCTCAGAGAACATACCTTTGTGTCTGATATTAAAATTGACTTTTTAGATGTGATAATAGCATGTGATATACAATATGAAATATATTTGATTTTTGTCCCCATATCCAACCACAGACCTCCTAAAATCTTAAGAATTTCCTGAGTTGTCCGAACTGTCTTTTGTTATTCATTAGGAACCCCTTTTGATCACACCAGTTTAAGTTGAGGTAAATTACTGTAGGTCCCCTAGACAGTCTCAGGATGGAACTACTCTGGGAAAAAAAGAGGGTTGGCTAGAGATAAGTTCTATAAAACCTCTTGAAAACTATAGTTGAACTTCAAGGTTACATGTGGAAGAGCTTAGGGATTGATATACCCTGAATCTACCCAAACCCATACCTTGCCCACTACATCACTTCACCTGGCTGTTCATCTCTATACTTTAGAATATCCTTTATAAACCAGTAAATATTAAGTAAAGTGTTTCCCTAAGCTCTGAAAGCTGTCCTAGAAAACTATCAAGTACAGCAGGTGGGTGTCATGAGAATGCCATTTTATAGTCAGTGGATCAGAGACACAGGTCACAATCTGGGACCAGCAATTAACATCTGTAGTGGTAGCAGTACTGTGGAGGTTTCCAGGTAAGTAGTTTCAGAAATGAATTGAGTTGCTAAAAACCCAGTTGGTGTTCGTGTAAGAACTGCTTGATGCCAGAGGAAAAACTCCCACACATTTGGTGTTAGATATGAAGTATGTGAGAAAAGGAAAAACAGTTTGGTTTTTCCTATCTTTTATAAAGTATTTTGGTTAAGGGCTGGGGTTGTGGCTCAGTGGTAGAGCACTTGCCTAGCATGTGTGAGGCACTGGGTTTGATTCTCAGCACCGTGTATTAATAAATAAAAAATAAAGGTCTATTCATAACTAAAAAAAAAATTCTGGTTTTTTAAAAGGGTTCTTATTGCTTTATGATACATGCTTAAATATTTATAGATAAAACAGTATGTCTAGGATTTGCCTCAAAGTAATTAGAGAAAGGAAGCAAATGGAACAGTAGCTTGCTTTATTTGTTTATTTATTTATTTATTCTTTTTGGACTGGGGATTAAACCCAGGGGTGCTTCATCACTAAGCTGTATCCCCAGACCTTTTTTATTTTTTTTTTGGAAACAGGGTCTCGCTAAGTTGCTGATGGTCTCGTTGAGTCTTGCCTTGAATTTGTGATCCTCTTTCTTAGTCTCCCAAACCACTGAGTTTACAAGCCTGTGCCATCAAGCCCAACAATGAATTGTTAGAGTAGTTAAAATCTGAGTGATAGGTAAATGGTAGTTCATTACTGTATGTGTAATTTGAAATTTCACATAATGAAGATTAAAAACCAAATAGTGTATGTACATAGCTGCCTTTTTAAAACACACACACACACACACACACACACACACACACACACACAATTTTCTTCCAAAAACCAGAAATATTTTGTTTCAAGCTCACAATCTAAATGTTAGATATTGCTACTAAACCATTTATCACTTTTAAACCAACAATGACAAGGACGATAACAATATTCATTTAAATTGAATTTTTTGAGGAGTCCTGTCTGTCTGATTGCTAGCCCCTTCTCTAGTGTAAGAATGAGCTGAATCAGATCCAAAGAAAGCAGAGGAGTCAGTCTTCTCCGAAAACTCTGAGGTGGTACCTAGAACTGCCAACCATCTGGTATCAAACCAGTCTGGAAATTAAGGCCTTCATTAAATGTCTGATACAACTCATTAAAGCAGGGATTCAACAGCAGCAGCCACATTCACTGTATTCTCAATTTTCTATACTGTCTGGGTCAACAGTCAGTGGTGTAAACAGCTCTGAGAGCCACCTCTGGCCCAGCCTTCCAAATACTGGTTCCGCCAGTGTCTTCCGACTTCTTTCCACAGCTGTTCTTCGAGTTTGCTCAAACATAGCTTCCAAGTCAAATGTTCGAGCTTTTTTTCCGAACCCCGTGAAGCCCATGGTAACTGCCAGCTCTGGGTTGGGTCCCGACGCATCTGAGCCTGTCACTTCGCTGGGCCCCACTTATATTCTTAAGGGATTGTTCTGTTGTTTCCTTTACTGTGATATCTTTGTCTATCTTTTATAACATGTCAATGGTTGTCTCATAGAATGAGCTAAGGAGTTTTCTCTCTTTTATTTTTTAGAGGAGTTTAGAAAACATTGGTATTAATTCTCCTTTGTATATTTGGAAAAATTTAATAATGAACCCATTTGTTCCTAGGACTTTCTTCTTGGGCTGATTTTGATTCAATTTATTTTTATTTTTATTTCCTTATTTTTTTGTTTGTTTGTTTATTGTGCTGGGTATTGAACCCAGAGCCTTGTGCGTGCAAGGCAAGCACTCTACCAACTAAGCTATTTCCCCAGCCCTGATTTCTTTTTAATAGATTTGTTCATATTTTATATTACTTCAGGATACAATTAGCTAGTCTGTGTGTTTCTATGAATCTGTTGATCCCACCTAGATTATCAGATTGTTGGTATAGTTGCTCATATTATTCTCTTCTACTTTTAAAAACTTTTGTCTAGCTAATAGTACTTTTGGGTTTTAGTAATTTGAACTCTCTCTTTTATTCTTTCTCAATTTGGCTACAGGTTTATCTCTTTTTTGACCTTTACAAAGAACCATTTTTTAAAATTTCTTTCATTCTCTCTATATTGTTTTTCTATGTCCTTTTTGGTTCCAATCTTCCTTCTGTTCCAATCTTCATTCCTTTTCTTCTGCAAGATTTGGTTTAGTTTTCTTTTCCTCATTTCTAATGTGTGAAGTTAGATTTTTGGTTTGAGGGGTTTTTTTTTTTTCCTTTTTTAACAGAATGTTACATCAGTAAATGTTATACATTGATTTTTTTCTGTGATGCCACTTTCATTTTAACCATCAATAATTTCACCACAATGCTTCCCCTGTCAAAACCTGCTTTTTTTTTTACTAGTGCTGCTTGTGTCATTTTTTTCCTAGTATCTGTGTCCTTCAAAAGTTGTCACCCATCCACTTCTTTGTTACCTCACTCACCAATTTTTTAAATAATCTCTACCATGATTTCCTGATCATCCCAGAATATCAACTTTTTGCCCTTAACACAATGTACCTACTTCCTTTTCACTCCACATATTATCACCATATTGTCAAGTTCATTCATCCTTTCCATCTTTTTCTTTATACTTTGTTTCTTTCAAGCTTAATTTAAAATAATTTTTATTTCTGTGAACCTTATTTAATTAATAGTCATCGTCTCTAATATTTGTTGTATTTCTACCATTAATGTATAGTTTGCTATATATGTTAATCTGCACTTTATAAATTTCTTTAAATATTTTAACATAATCTTCACATTTTTCTGTTTTTTGTTGTTATTGTTCTCCAACAAGTTATAGTTCGTAAGTATATTTTTCTTTCCAAATATTTCTTCCAATTACTGCATTCATTTAGATTCACAGTTATCTAATCAATTATTTTCCATTGGCACATCAGTTACTTTTTAATAATAATGGCGTTTTCCATTATTATTAATAATAATGGAATAAACTCACCTTCCTAACAATCTCCTTTAGTGTTAGATCACTGTTCTCCTTTAGTGCTTGATTATTGTTCTTATGTGGCCCCATTCACTTTAATCTCAGTGGGAAAAGCACATTTAGACATATAATAGATTCCATAAAGTGGAGTGGAGTGGTTGGCTAAAATAATCTGGAATCTGTAGGACACCCCCTCAGTAAGGAAAGATCACAGGCAAACTGGATCCAAGGGCATGAGACTACACTGTTGTTTACAGGCAAAATTTCTTTTCTCTGCCAACCTTGTATTTTAAAATCTGTAAATATTGATGTATATACATTTAATTTTCTTTTCTACACATGTATCATATTTCATTTAACCATTTTCATAGTAATGACATTTTTCAACTCTTTGTCATTACAAACAATACTTGCAGTGAAGATGTTTTTACTTGTACATGTGTGAAATGTTTTCTGAGGCTTGTATCTGGTAGTGTAGTTGCTAGCTAATACTGTATGTCCATACTCATTTTCACTGTGTATTGCTAAAATAGTTTCTAATATGACAACACTCCCACAAGTGCTAAATGAAATTTCCCATTTCCCACCTTCAACAGTGTTTATATTAACTGATTGTGATATTTTTGGCATTCCAGTAAGCATAAAATTTTATTGAATTTCTTAAAGTTACGTTTCTCTGATTAATAAGGACATTGGATATCTCCTCATGTTTATTTGCCTTTTGGTACTTTCTTTTATGTAAATTGTCCATTCATTTTATTTGTCCATTTTTATAGAGGTCAACCAGGGTTTTTCTTGCTAGCATATAAGAATTGGACTTCTTCAATGTGATCTTGTTTGTTTTCTGATTTTCAGGGACCTTTTAGATTCTGCTTAACTAAGATATTCCCTTTTTGTCTTTCAGTATAGTAATGGATGGATTGGATAAGTGATGTCTACCTTGAGAAGCCTATAGAAAAAGGTAAAATACATGGTTCGACACCTGAAAGATACCATAAGATGTTGGGAAGAAAATGTAGTTGAACAATACTGTATTGAAAAAGTTAATACATGAGAGAAGTTAGCATCAATTAGAATAATTCATGGTAAAGACAAGTTTAAATATACTCATATGTTCTAAACATTGTGCTGGTACTAATTTTGCTATAAATTGTAATATTGAATAAATTGCCTAATCTTTCAGAGTCTCAAGGTCTCTTTATCAAATTACATTTATTCATATCTATTTAGCAAAGATTCTCTGAGTAGTAAGTAATTTAATATGCATGAAGTCCCTACCCTACTACCTGGTAGATAGTAGGTCCCTAATAATTTTTATTCAGTTCATTTTTATTGTACCTTATATTTATATAGCTCTCTGCAGTTGAAAATCACTTTCTTACTCATTTAATTCATTTTAGTCACTTAGAATCCAGTATTTGGTTGTAACATTGCTTTGTAAAGTAGGCATATGCTTGTTTAATTAAATGTAAATTGATTTATGTCTTTGCTTACTTTAGGATTTTAGAGAAATCTTGGTTTTTATTTTGGTTATCTAAAGTTAGCAGCATCCCCTGGTAGCTTAGCTCAGTTTCTCTACTCCTCCACTTTCTCCTGTGGATAATTATTTGTATTCAAATATAATGGAAGAAATTAGCTATGAAAGACTTTTGATGGATCCCATTGTGAGAGAATTCTTTCTTGTTCTTAATTCATCTCCTTCTAAGATTGTGTTTTCCTAAAGGAATGTGTACTTTTTAAAAACTGGATTAATATGATACTTGTAGTCAATCTTAGGATCACTTCAAATTGGTAAATAACAGTAAATTGATGAATGATTACTTCTTGTTTGAGTGAGAAAGATTTAAGAGAAGAGTCATTAAAATTGGAGTGGTTTGGAACATGGATGGTGCCATTTTTTTTAAAGATAACGATAAGCTTTCACTTTCTCAAAATATTTACCACATATACTCCCTTCATTCTAAATAATGTGCTATTTTCTTTGCTCTCTAGATAGCATTCTGATGAGGTGGTACAGGACCTGTGCATATTATATGCAAGAAAGAATGAATTTTTTATTTCTATACCTCATTTTCAAATTTTAAAAAATAGTTATCAAACTTGATGATCTACTGACTCTAATTTTCCAACCTTAAAAGAAATTAAGTATAAAGGAAGGTAAAACTTCATGCTGTTATATTAAATTTCCTGGTAATAGCTAGGCACAGTGGCATATGCATATAATCCCAGCAACTTGAGAGGCTGAGGCAAGAGGATTGCAACTTTGAGGCCATCCAGGGAAACTTAGTGAGACCCTTCTCAAAATAAAAAATGAAAAGGGCTGGGTCTGTAGCTTAATGGTAAAGCCCCATGGGTTCAATCCTGAGTATCAAATAATAAAAATAATAATAATACATAAAATTTTAAAATTAAGTTCCTGGTATGTATATTTAACATCTTTCCTTGGCTGAAGTTCGGGCTGATGTAACATCTCTTGGCTTCCTTGGATTTGGAATTAGGAACCTTCTCTGATGCCTTTATTTCAATATGGACACCCAGGCTCCCTCCTCTATCCCAACTGTTTCAAATATCTTCTTATCTTTTAAAATATAAAAATTAACTACTTTTTTTATTAAAAATAAAAAGCTAGAAAACCTTTCTTTGTTTTACTAAAGGTAAAACTATTGAATGCCTTATTTTAGTTTTATCTTAACCTAAGCATCAAAATTTTACAGAATTACATGTGCTGCTGACATCTTATTCTTGAACAACTTCAGCTTTAAGCCTCATATAGAAACGATAGTATATATCCAAGACACTACATGCAACTTATCTATACAAATAAATTTGGTGATTTGTAACATAATACACTAAAGGAAAGTGATTGAGTAAACCTCTCTTCCCAGTTGGCATTATGTATGAATCATATGGGTCAACAGTATACTTCAGTGGAGAAGAAAAAAAACATCTGGTTGTGATCATTTATCTAAGTGTCTGCTTATTTGGGTAAGGTTCATCTGATTACATGTGTGCAGTTTTAGGACATTTTCATTTACTAACAAGGTGAATAAATTTATTTGTCTTTGTCATTTCCACACAGTGCAACACAACCCTTGGAATTATTCTAGCTGATATTTAACTAATTTGCAGTCCTCAGAAAACCTTTACAAAAAATCATAATCCTAAACTTTGCCAAAAAATATTGAGGCTCTTGTTCCCACATCTATGCAGAGATTTTTTTTAAATATTTATTTTTTAGTTATAGGTGAACACAATATCTTTGTTTTATTTTTATGTGGTGCTGAGGATCAAACCCAGGGCCTCGCACATGATAGGTGAATGTTCTACCTCTGAGCCACAACCCCAACCCTCTATGCAGAGATTTTTAATATTGTTCTCTTTTTGTCTTGACTATTTAGCTAAACTTAATGTTGGTGTTGTTATTGTTGTTGTTGTCATCATTTTCACTTTCTTTGTTTGAAAACAGAAGACTGTATAATAGAGTCTCTATTCTTAGCCTGGATTTTTAAAAATATTTATTTATTTTTGTTACTGATGATCGAACCCATCATATTTTACCACTGAAGTACATCCCCAGTCATTTTTTTTAGTATTTATTTGAGACAAGGTCCTGCTAAATTGCTGAAATTCTTACTATGTTGCTGAGTGAGGCTGGTCTCAAAATTGCAATCCTCCTTCCTCATCCTCCTGAGTCACCAGGATTATAGTCATGTTCTACCATATCCATCTTTAACCTGGATTTGTAATACTAATCAATCTTTTCCATTTTATGTGATTGATAATTATTGTCATTATTTTGCTAAGTCCTTATTTGAAAGATAGAGGGGCTGGGGATGTGGCTCAAGTGGTAGTGCGCTCGCCTGGCGTGCGCGGGGCGCTGGGTTCGATCCTCAGCACCACATAAAAATAAAAAAACAAAGATGTGTCCACTGAAAAAATAAATATTAAAAAAATCACCTCTCTCTTTAGAGAGAGGAAAAAAAGAATAATCTGAAATACCAGCGATTTATACTTTTCTTCTGATTTTTATGTTTTCCTCTTTAGCATATAACTTAGATACTACTATATCTCTTTTCAAACAAGCAAATGTAGATAGAAATGTTTAAATTTTACTTAGAATTAATTCCAACCTTAAATGAATAGATAGATAAGACTTTGCTCTCATTCTATATATCCACAAAGTACCAACAACTACTGGCAGAGCTCTATCATTGGAGTCTAGAATAAACACTTATCTTTCTTTATGGAGGACAGTAACTGAATTATTGAAACTGGAAGGTAACCTTGAATATTCACATATGATAAGTCTCCAAAAGAAGCTCTAGACATATGTGTTACTTTATTGTACTTAGATTTTATATTTCTTGAGTTTTATAAATACCAAATATTCCTACTTTCACAGTTATTAATCCAAGTAATTTAATATTAGGTTCTTATTTATTTTATTAGAATTATTAACTCAAAATGTTAGAAATGTTTTTATGCATTTTTATATAAATTTTTTTTATAATTTTATGCAAATTAATTGGTATTCACTGTGATAATCCATACATGCATACATTATATGTTGATCATGCCTGTTTTAGTCAGCTTTTTTGCTGTTGTGAGTAAAGGACCCTATCCAGAAAAACTGTGGAGGAGGAAAAGTTTATCTGGGGGCTCACAGTTTCAGAGATCTCAATCTATAGACAGCAGGCTCCATTCCTTGGAGCTCAAGGTAAGGCAGAGCATCATGGCAGAAGAGTGTGGCAGAGGGAAACAGCTTACATGATGATCAGAAAGCAGAGAGAGAGCTCTCAACTTGCCAGATAAAAGTATATATCCAAAAGCCATGCCCTCAATTCCCACGTCCTCCAACCACACTATACCACTTCAGTTACCACTCACTTAATCCCTGTAGGAATTAATCACTGATTAGGTTAAGACTCTCACAACCCAATCATTTCTCCTCTGAATCTTCTTGCATTGTCTCACACATGAACTTTTGGAGGATACATCACATCCAAACCACAACAATGTCCATTCATGCTTATTCTGTGTCTATCCTCCCTCCCCTGGGACCTTTTTCAGTCCTGGTAATCCCTCTGCTACTTTCATGGTTTCTTTTATGATTATGTTTTTTTTTTATTTTTTAAGTTTCCACAGGTGTGAAAATACACAATACCTCTTCTAGGCAGCAGTTTCACTGCTGAGACCAAAAGACCTAACAAGAACAGTCTTAGGGAAGAAAAAGTTTGTTTAGCAGCTCATGGTTTCAGAGGTCTCAATTCATAGATGGCTGACTCCATTTTTTCAATGCTCAAGATGAGGTAGAACATCATAGCATAAAAATTTGGCCGAGGGAAGTGGCTTAGGACATAGCCAAGAAGCAGAGTGAAAGTTACCCTTACATCAACAAAAATAAAAACCCCAAAGGCCTGCTCCCAATGACCCACCTTCTCCAGCCATACCCTACCTACCTATAGGTAATACCTATCAGTGGATTAATACAGTGATTAATTTATGGCTCTTATAATCCAATCATTTCACCTCTTAACTTTCTTTTTTTTAAGAGAGAGTGAGAGAGGAGAGAGAGAGAGAGAGAATTTTTAATATTTATTTTTTAGTTCTTGGCGGACACAACATCTTTGTTGGTATGTGGTGCTGAGGATCGAACTGGGGCCGCACGCATGCCAGGTAAGCGTGCTACCGCTTGAGCCACATCCACAGCCCCACCTCTTAACTTTCTTGCATTGTTTCACACATATGCATTTGGATAACACCAAATATTGTGGGTATATGATCAGTTGTAATTGAGTTATTTTATTAGACCATTAGACCTGTTTGCTTTACCCTTCATTTGTACTTTCTATGGCTATATATGAAATTAGACGCATATGAAGAATAGCAATAAATCAATAAACTGTCTAGGAAATTAGAGTTTCTCATTCAAGAAACAAATGAAGTATTTGTAGTAGCCAG